CCTCTCGAAGAAGCCGCTTCTGTTTCTCCTCTCTCTCTTTCTCTCTCTCTCTCTCTCTCTCTCTCTCTCTCTCTCTCTCTTTTGTTCTTCTCCTTCTCCCCTTCCCTTCCATACTTCAATAATCCACTAAATAAATATCCAACCTCACTCTGAATGGCATGCCTATCCGTCTGTCTCTTGCCTTCTGCTGCCACATAGCTCACCACCTAGGACCAGTTGCCTTGAGAGACCTGCTGCGTGGTCTCATGTGCCATCCCTGCCCGGGACCTGGCTGCCTGCCCCAACGCAGGGACCTGCAGTGTTTCTGCTTCTGCAGCCACTTGGGGATCTCACAGCATTTTATTTTTGCTATTACAATTATGAGTCTGAAACAGAAAGTATTTCAATATATTGACATAAAATGACTATTTTCCCCTGTGAGTATAAAACCAAATAACTATTCTCATAGTTCAATATGTAATTTTAAAACAGAAATTAACAATATTAAAAATAATATTAGTTTTAATATATATAAAAATAATAGTAAAAAAATAATAGTTTTCCTAAGTTATTTGAAAACAATGACCAACAGGTACTTTTGGTTATAGAAGACAAATTTGATACAGGTCTATTTTACTTAAAATGCATCTTCTATCTCATCATTTAGTTATCTAAAGTTACACAAAGGAAAGGAAATCACTCTGTTTTAGTGATGTTTGTTTTGTTGATTGATTACTTGGTCAATTGGTCACTTGGTTTTTTGAGACAGGTTGCTCTGTGTAGCTCTGGTTGTCCTGGAACTCACTTTGCAGACCAGGCTGGCTCCAGATTCACAGAACTCCATCTGCCTTTGCTTCCTGAATAATGGGATTAAAGGTGTGTGTCACCACTGTCCAGGAAAGTTATTCTATTTTATTAACCGTGACTTTATTGAGTCAATTGTCCTTTTGATGAGAATAGGCGAGAGAATTCTGCCAGGCAGTACAGGGCTGGGAACATAAAAAGACCACATCTGTGTCTTGTCCTTGCTGTTTTGTAGTATATTGGACATAGGCTGTAATGCTGGGCATGTTTAGGGGAACTGATTCGTGGTCTTGTTTATTGTTTTATCTTTCTTCTCCTTTTGTTTAGCAACTGAATGTGTTTATCTGCCAGGAAACTAAACATGATGCTGTACTTTACCTTAAAGGCATGCTGTAAAGTTCATTCAAACAACGTCAATGTACAGGTGTAAAGACACTTGAAGGTGGGTCAAATGGAACAAACAACTCAGTTCCCCATCTTAGTTACTTTTTAATTGCTATGTGAAAGTCTTCGTGACCAGGCAACTTATAGAAGAAACAGTTTATTTGGGACTATGAGTTTCAGAGTGCAAGTCTATGACAATGATGGCAGAAAGCATGACAGCAGACAGAAGGTCAGGACTGTTGGAGTTGTAGCTGACAGCTTACATCTTGAGGCTTGAGATGAAGGCAGAAAGACCAAATGAGAATGGTGTAGGCTTTTGAATTCAGAAAGCCCTTCCCACTGACACAACAAAGCCACACCCACTAAACCTTCTCAATCAATTCTATCATCTGGGGACAAAGTATTCAGAAAAAGGACCATTCTCATTCAAACTGTTATATCCCATATCTCAACTCCAATAAAGACTTATTAACCCCTGAATAAAGACCTTCAACAACAGAGCTCCCTTTCTACTCACCCCCATGCCTCACAGGGGCTCTGCTTGCTTGCTTCCTTTCTCTTATAGTCTGTTGTGTAATAAGACATTCTAAAAATAGCCTTCTTTTGTATATCAAATCCATTCATTGGGGATTTGAGACTAATAATCAAGAAGCCACTAGCATGATGACCGGGAGAGAGAAACTGGCTAGTCAGACGTAGTTCGGGACCTCCAAAGTAGTAGTTCTGGGAGGAGGTTTGCTTCTCTATCCAGAGAGTGATAAGAAAGCTGAGGCTTCTTATCTCCTGATAAAACGCCTTTCCTGGAACAGTTTCTGAGGATGTGACAAAACTCCAGTCCGAAAACAAATCTCTTATGGGAAAGTGTCGTGAATCTGGATCTCTAGACTTTTATGCTGAAATTGACTCACTATCATTACCAGTATCAGTCCATTTCTGAAATATTAGAAATTCCTCTTTGGATGGAGAAATGTTACAGTAACATTGACGGCCAGGTCTCTCCAGCTAAAACCTCCCAGGCAAAATGATGGAATCAACTTCTACGTGAAGACAGACCATTGTTTCCCATCTTAAGGGTTAAACTAGTTGGATATTCAGTTTCCTAACAAAGAGACTGCACGTCAGTAAATCTCAACTTCCAGAACTAATGTTTGGTCAGCTCCATGCTTATGTTCAATTTCAACATTTAAAAAGTTTTTAGAACAGTTTCTTGTGCCTCATGTTTTTAGGTGATATAATATTAAGGGTATATACTGGTTTGAAAAATATTGTCACATCTCTTTCACCTTGAAAGCACAATCTGTTTGCTTGAAGTTACATAAGAGAGTCTCCTGCCAGAATCAAAGATCCTAAAAACAGAAAGAAAACTTTTACAAATTCCTTTCCCAATCAACTGCAGTACTTTCGAATCACAAACAAAAATATTCAAATTATCCCTGAGAAGAGGGACTTGATGGAGACATCCCATTCAGGGAACCCTGCAGGAAAGGACATAGAAAGATTGTAATATCCAATGAGGATTGAAGGCATCAAGAAAAACAAATGCCTTCTAGACACAATAGGCCTGATGTATATATGAACCCACAGAGATTGTGGCAGCATGCACAGAGCCTGAAAAGTTCTAAACCACATGGGGGTCTATGTACTGAGAGGGGAAGCAGACCCAGTCCCCTTCCCTAACCCACAAGCTATCTCTAATTGATAACTGCTCAGAAAGAAAAAAAAATAGACAAATGTGCCTGATAACCCATTCAAGCAGGCATTTAAGAGCATGCTATTTAGTGTGTGTTCTCTGATAGACACTGAAACAAAATACCAAAACAACATTCCTCTGATAACAAATGATTATTTGAACAAATTTTCCCACATCAAGCAAGGCCAGCATTGACTACGTTTCCACTTGTATCCAACTAACTTGACTGCCTGATAATTTTTTACTGAGTGATAAAGCCTTCTCTGCCATTCTGCCATTCCGCTTGTAGCTTTACTCATACCACAACTATGTTAGTAAATAACTTGTTAGAGTCTTCCCTTGAATGTCTAAAGTAGTGTCAAAGTTGTTTCCTCCTGCTTGTATAGGAAATGTAGAGATAATTGAATAAATCTTCAATGGGCAATAGCTAAGGGGAGAGTATACTAGACAAAGTCGTACTAGATCACAGGCTGTGGTTATTGTTCGTCTGTATGTCTCCCTAACAGCAAGACTGGGTGAGTACAGACACCGAGCACAAAGGTGAGACAATCAGGTCAAAGAAGAAAAAACATGAGTCATCTCAATAATCTTTAATTTTTACTAGATCCAAAATCCAGTGTATAATAATGTTGATTGTGTTAGCTTAACTCATATTTATCTAGCTTATCATATGAATACTCTGTCTAATCAGAAGTCTAAAAGTTGTGGCTCATTGGTGAAGTTTGGTGTCCTCCCTAGCATTAATAAATAAAATATAGGGGCAGCACCACTGTGTTAGTTACTTCTCATGTAGATGTGGTGAAATACATTTTAAAGGTAATTTGAAGGAAGAAGTTATGTGCTCTGAATTGTAGTTTGCGAATATACAGTCCCAACATGGAGGCAGGAGTGAGAGACAGTTGTTCACATTCTGTTTACACTCAGAAAGTAGAAAGAAAAGGATTACTCTTGCTCAGCTCACTCTTTTCTTCTTATTGATTTCAGGACCTGAGTCTACAGAAGGGTGCTACCCATAACTGTAGATCATCTCACTCGAATTTACCTCATCATGGGAATCCACCAGGAGCATGCCCAGAGACTGTCCTCCTAGGTGGTTCTCACCACATTGAATACATTGGCCATCCTGGCCACGGACTTTTCATTTGCAAGCACTCCGTTGTGTTAGATGCAATAGACACAGCATGACTCAAAAAATCTAAAATGTTCATTACCTAGACTTTATAGATCTCACAAATTTATTTAAATTGTAGGGAATTTTCAAATACTTTTCATCAGCAAACACCTAGAATACAATATATGATGTCACAATTGTACCCTTGACATAAACATATACCTTTTGCCTGTGTCCTTCTTGGTAAGCTACTGAGCACAAGACTGCATTGAAGAGGTGTTTCCCTGCCTTCATCAGTCAACTGACATTTGTGAACAGATAATTTTCTTTCTCTGGCTTTTTACTCTAGGCAAATACTACCTCTTTTTGGACTATTTTATATTCTGACTGTATTAATATTTCCTTATTGCTTCTCTGGGATACATACTCTATGAACAGCACTAAACAGAAAGTGCCCATCACAGCATAGCATCCTTGTCTCTACATCTGAAATGATTACAATCACTTTGTGTTTCCCACTCTGCCCTCCTTTGCTGGAAGTAGGAAGGGGCATAAGCACAACACAGACACTAAGTCTGCTTTGTATGAAGTTGTCACTAACTTCCTATTTTTTTAAAAAGCCTACATGAGAGGGTAACTGGGTGTTTAGCACCTTCTTAAAAAGTTTGGCCTGCTCTTGGGACTCTTTCCCTCCTGTTGGATTGCCTCATTTAGCCTTCAAACTAGGACGTTAGGTTTGTCTAATTTCACCTTGTTTTGTTGTGTTTGGTTGTTGTCTCTTGTAGGCCTGTACTTTTCTGAAGGAAGAAAAACAGAAGAGTAGATGAAGGAAAGGAGTGGCTGGTGGGAGCTGGGAGGAGTTAAGGAATGGGAAACTGTGGTCAGTACGCATTGTATGAGAGAAGAATCTATTTCAACTTTACAAAGTTACTGCAGTTGAAGATCTGCATGCAAACATGCTTTCTGGTTATGATCTGAGCTAGACATACAATATTTTATAACAAATTTCTATTTCCCAAGGATTATTCAAAGATGCACTCAATGGAAACCACAAGTTATTTGTCAATAAGTAAAGCCTGGAAATCTCAGTGACTACTATAAATGACTCACTCATAAATACAGTTACAGAACAAGAAGATTACTCGCCAAGTGCAGCCATGAGAGAAACACAGTAAGTGGTTGTCTGTGGACTGGCAATTTTGTCATTGCCAATGTCATTGTCTTTGAAAAGCTTTAACTTTATTTAATTTCAGAATATGGAAGCTGAGTGTCCTTAAATACTAATAATATATTTAAAGACTGCATTTACAATATTATTAAAGCTTCTGTAGACTTTAATAAGATAAGTTCAATATATAATGTTCTGTTATAAAAACAATTTGCACAGTCTTATTTACTGAAATCAAATAGAATAATATACATCATTGTATAAATCTGCCTTAGTTAAATACTTTAATAGTCAAGTATCAGAGTTCTCTTTAATGTAACATAATAGCCAAAGGAGAGTAATGTTTAAAAGACTTTCTTCTTCGGGTCACTGATCTATTGAGCACAAAGGTTCTAAAATAGCTAATTAAATCTTTTTAAAACAAGAAAGATAAATAACTTCTTCAGCCTCAAAATAACCTCTGGAATGCTGTGGATTTGTGAGTAGGCAGGTTTTTGTTTGTTTTTGTATCCCCAAATAGTTCATGGTTCCCTGTAAAAGTAACCAGTTATCACAACTATAAACTCCAGAAGATACCAATGCCAATATTCCATAAAAAATATTTTAACTTTTTGTCCCATTTGCAGATTCACACTGGTAAAAGTGATCAGAAAAGAGTGAACAATAACAAAAAAAATATTTTTACAAAAATACACTCTTTGTTGATTATATTGCTAAGTATTTTGTAAAGAAAAGGGCCACATGATAACTAATATATGTTATCCAGGATCTTTCTTGGGTATAATGACTCACAAAAGTAGCTACAAAGAATGTATGCATAGAATCAGTACAATGGTGGATCCACTCCATGATTATCTATGAGTAAACCTTCCCAGAAGCTAGGGGAATTGGAGTTCCCACAACAGGAAAAAATAAAAAGGAAGTAAAGTCAGACATAAAAGTATCAGAATCTAAGTTTGATGGCTTTTTCCCCAAACTCAGAAATATAGTGTTTGAATTTTCTAAACAGGCATAAAAGGCCCAGACCTTTAACCCCTAAACAAGAACCTGACAGCAAGAGGATACAATATTTTCATTTTCATTTAAACGTTTTGAGTTAACCTCTGTTTATAACTAATTTAAAATTATCAGTATGCTATGTATTCACTGATTACGTTTTGGTTTGATGTGTTTTTTATTTTTATCCTCAATCTACATCATATTAATATTTTGTAAAATAAATCAGGCTTTAATGAGCAAATCAAACAAGAATTTTCATGTAATACTGAACAATGACTATCACTGTCCTTATAATTCTCACTTCCCGGTCATGAGGCATCCCTTTGTGGCTATCATAATTGGTATAATGAATTTCCTAAAATAAATGGAAGTCTAATTTGATCCACTGCCCGTGAACAATCCAGGCATTCACATCAAAACCACTGACCTGATTTGAAGACGAATCCTGCCAAGATGAAGTCAGGCTTTTCTGGGACGTGTGCTCCCTCAGTACAGGGTTTGAATGGTTTGTTCTGAGGGCTCTGAAGTGGGGATTTCCAGTAACAAAGAAACACAATCTGAGCTCACAATTCCAGACACCTAGACTTACTTTAAATAAAAGAAACTTGAGATGGAAAGAAAATCTGAGTCATCAACCAGTTCAGTGATTGCCAGTGAGTGGAAAACTTGCTGGTGTCCTTGGCTATGAGCAGTTGAGAGACTCACAGTTTTCTACAGGTGACAGCCTTAAGGATGTGAATACAATCTCTAACTGGGCAAGGATCCTTATATCAGAATGTCTAACATATAAATCTCAGACCCTCATGGTCAGCCTCTTCTGAGGAAGCACATGCCTGGATATACATGCTTCTTTATAACCTTAACCACTATTTCAAACTTGTAACAAGTGGTTTTACAATTTCTAAAGCAGCTAATGGTTTCCACATAATAAATTTGTTATGATTTGTTTACTATATTCACCATGTTGATGATTTCCCTGTGGGGTTTCATTTCAGGCCTTCAAAATATAGGTTGTCTAGTATGATAAAACACCGGAACCCTGAATATGTGTGAATATACCAAAAGCAGTACAGAGCATATAATCAAATGGTGAATGTAAGTACATTAATTCTAGATTAAGTATAATCTACATGGTTTAGAAAAAAAGTATATGACAGCATAAACATACCTTTAACTGCAGATTTCATATTTGTCCACAGAAACTTGACACAAGCTTATATAGAGTGAATGAATGTCAAATAAGGATTAAATGTGCGAATTTCTTACTGTAGTACCTTGCAAAAAACTTTCACATGTCTTCAAGTAGTCATAATTTTGCAACAATTTTAAAATCTAAATCAAATTTAGATTATGGGAATTGATATTGCTTATGACACTTGCCTATCAGGACAGCTAAGAGTAGAAAAGGTTCAGTAAAAGTTGAAATGGAGTTAGGATAAAAATAAAGGTGAAATACTTTTTCTTTTCAAAATGTTAACTCCACATTTTGCACTGTCTTTGCTTAGATTAAACTTTATTTTTAAAGACAAGACTATGAATACTTATGCTCCCTTAAATTAGACAATCTAGATAAAAATAGATTTATGATACATACAAACACCACAGTGTGATTGATACATTAATTAAAAAATTGTCCTCTAACAAGAAAATTATTTCAACCAGTAAAACAAACTACTGCATAAAGAAAATGCTAGAAACAAATCTCTTCACAATAGAATTTTACTAAATATTTCAAAAAAGAATTTGCACTGTTCCTTGTCAGTATCTTCCAAAAATAGAAGAGCAATCCCCTTAAGTAATATATGATGTCAGCATTATTCTTACACCCAAACTAGATATAGACACAGAGAATAAAACTGCAAGTTCTTGGGGATTCTTTCAACTCTAATTCAAAATTTTTTCTTTTTGTAGTAGATGGTGAGAAAAATAAAGAATCAAGACTGGTCTAAATATAGCAAGTAAGAAACATCAGAGTGCACAGCTCTAAATGGAATATATATGTCACACCCCTTCCACAAGACTTGAAGATCACTATGGAAGTAAGACAGAAGAATGTGAGAGCCATATGTACCAAACATATGCAATGAACAGAATTCTCTGTGTTGTTGCAGGCATGAACTCAAAGAAACTATCCTATATATTCATAACATTCACAGGAGCAAATCTTCTATGCTAAAGTTCCAGCATAGAAGGTCTAAGGGCCCATAAAGTACCACCTCTAGACAAGGTAATGTTCTCAGCTGATGACTGATAGAGGAAAATGTAGTGGTGGAGTACGGGAAAAACTGGAAGGGAGGAATCAGCAGGAGATTTGATCAGAACACTTTTAATGCATTTCTGAAATAATCAGTAATGAAAATTTACAATGATAGACCAGTATTCATTATGAACATAAATTTAAAGCTATAAATTAAATCATTTTACAGTACCATGTCAAAGAATGAGATGTATGAATAAACTTAACCCAAATAATATAAATTACTGAATCCAATAAAACAAATCTCTTTTTTTAATTTTTATTTTTCCATTCAAAATTTTCCACTTCCTCCCCTCCTCCCATACCCCTCCTGCTCCCCCAGTCCCCTTTCTCTCTCCCCCTCCAGTCTTAAGAGATGGTAGGGTACCCTGCCCTGTGGGAAGTCTAAGGCCATCCCCCCTCCATCTTAGGAAGGCGTGCATCCAAATAGACTAGGGTCCCAAAAGACCAGTACAAGCAGAAGAAACAAGTCCCAGTGCCTTTATCAATGGCTTCTCAGTCAGGCCCCATTGTCAGCCACATTCAGAGAACACGGTTTGAACACATGCTTGTTCAGTCCAAGTCCAGGGGGACTTGGTGAGCTCCCATTAGAACAGGGACACTGTCTCAGTGGGTGGACCAACCCCTCACGGTCCTGACTTACTTGCTCATCTTCTCCCTCCTTCTGCTCTTCAACTGGACCTTGCGAGCTCAGTCCAGAGTTCTGATGTGGGTCTCTGTCTCTATCTCCATCCATCGCCGGACGAAGGTTCTATGGTGATATTCGAGATATTAGTCAGTGTGACTATGGGACAAGGCCAGTTCAAGCACCCTCTCCCCTGCAGTCCAAGGACCTTTCAGGGGACATCCCCGTTAACATCTGGGATCCCCTCTAGAGCCAGTCTCTTGCCAACCCGAAAACGGTTCCATTAATGAAGATATCTTCTTCCCTGCTCCTATATCTGCCCTTCTTACATCTCAACACTCCCACTCCCCCAAGCTCTCCCCAATCCTTCCCTTCTCCCTTCTCTCTCCCCGTCTCCTCCTCTCCCCCCCTCTCCTTCCCCATTCCCCATCCCTATGCTCCCAACTTTTGCCCGAAGATTGTGTCTGCTTCCAATTTCCAGAAGGACCTATATATGTTTTTACTTGGGTTTACTTTATTATGTGGTTTCTCTAGAGTTGTGAACTATAGGCTCAATGTCCTTTGTTTATGGCTGCACTGTTATTAAGAAAATTGCGATAGTTCCTGCCTGAGCCATGCACAGTTCCAGGCACACAGCAGTCCACATTGCCATCAAGCAAACTATAGCATTTTACTCACAAAACCCCATTCAAATGCTCTGTCTCCTGCAGGAGTCAAATGTCACGCTGGCGGCACAGTCCAGAAACTGGTATTTCAAAACTGCCACTTTCTAGTAGACCTGATCCCTTGTGCCTACTCAGGCAGGAAGAGCTACTTTGTTCCCGACCCTGAGTGGGCACACAAATATCCAGGCCCAGAAATGCTCCATAGATGGAGATGGCACTGGCAGCAAGGCCCAGGAATTTTAAAATGGTGCTGCCCTCTCAGGTTTTTAAGTGGATTTAGTCCATCACGTTGGAGCACCACTCTGTAGTAGTGAGGGTGGGCCCCTTGTTTCATCCTGCTCCGCTAGCTTATACTCAAAATTACCACATGGAAATTGTATTCATTGAAACACTGCCTGGCCCATTAGCTCTAGCCTCTTATTGGTTAACTCTCACATCTTGATTAACCCATTTTTATTAAATCTGTGTATCACCACCATCTACGTCTCAGGCCAGAGATTCATGGTATCTGCCACACTTCCCTTCTTCCCAGTATTCTGTTCTGTCTACTCTGCCCACCTAAGGGCTGCCCTATCAAAAGGCCAAGGCAGCTGCTTTACTCAACCTATGAAATCAACACACATACAGAATGACCTCCTAAACCAACAAATATTAAATATAGGATGATCATATGTTGCTCATGTCCTAGTATCCTCTCTCCTAGATTAACAATTAAATAATTAGCAATGATTACCAAGCACATGCCTAACTTATGGTGCTTATTTTTCATAACAGCCAAGTGATCAAGGCACAATAAGTTTTAGCCCTGAGATGAATGGGTTAATAATATATACTGCATTTATACATTGAGATAGATGTATAGATACATTACTTAAAAACAATGAAGTTTATATGCATGTTATGTTTAAATCTATCAAAGTGAGATGAGCAAGAATTAAATGATCTCACTAATATAAAACATCTCAGATAAAGAAATTCATAGAGATAGGAAATGGATTGGAGATTAGAAATCCCCTATCATGCAGCTAAGTTTAATGTACAGCTGGTCTACCTAACCACAGAACTATAAACAATACAACTGTGGTTTTCAGGAACTAAAATCTCTGGATCTATGAGCCTGAATAAATCTTTTCCTTTGGGTATTTTGGTGTGTATAACAAAATCGTGATACCAATTTTATGTTAAGTTTTTCTTAGGATATGATTATTCACTCTTTCTCTACCTTCTTTAAGTGATATATCTAGTAATTTATGGGGTTTTATTTTTCTTTTAAAGTATAATACTTATAAAAACTATGTTTGTGTTTGTTTTGTAAAGTGTTTATCTTTTATAGTACTGTGAGTTAATTCAGTCTTCAGTTTGTTTGCTGATATGAATTTTGGAAGGTTCTTAGTTTTGCTTACATAAAATATTTCCTTTTCTCACGGTACTCATCCTTTCTTTTATTCCCAATATACTGTTAAGAAATGTTGCAATGCTCTGTATTTTCTCAAAATATGGCTTATTTTAATTTTGTTTATTTAAAAATGTATTATAAAACTTGTTGCATAGCACATACATATGACAGTCATACATACATACTTCTAGGCCTTTGAGCTTTATTGGAAAGTTAAATAAATTTTAAAGAATTACGAAAGACATGTGAAGAAATTACTCCTACAGCACACAAAAGCACTTCCTGTAAACCTTCTTGGTCTTTCCCTGTCTTCCCCAAGAGCATATATCTATGTTACTTCTCATCCACAGAATGTCTCCCATATTTTATTATCTTCTTAACACTCCCTCACTCCGTCTGATCTTCTGGAGTTAATAATTCTTCCAAACATGTTATTATTAAAATATTCCTCTACTTTTTTTGTCATCATTTGTAATTTTATTTTTTTAATTCCTTAGATTGTTTTAAAAATACCAATCCAAATTCCCACTCCCTTCCCTCCTCCCAGTCCCTCCACATACCCTCCCACCCCACCCCCATCTAATCCTAAGAGGGGGTAAGGATTAGCAAGAAACCTGGCTCTAGAAAAATTCCCAGGAATCCACAAGGATGAGCTCAGCTAAGACCCTTAGCAATAGAGGACAGGGTACCCGAAGTGGACTTGCCCTGTAGTCACACTGATGATTATCTTAAATATCATAGAATCTTCATCTAACAACAGATGGAAACATAGGCAGAGACCCGTATCAGAGCACTGACTAAGCTCCCAAGTCCAGATGAAGAGTGGAAGGAATGAGAATATGAGCAAAGAGGTCAAGACCATGAAGTTTCATCCACTGAAATAGTTTATTTGAACAAATGGGAGCTCATCAACTCCAGTTGGACTGGAAAGTAACAAGAATAAGACCAAACTAGTCCCTCTGAATGTGGTAGACAGTTGTATGGCTTAAGCCTGTATACATCTGCCTAACTTTCTATTCAGAAAAACAAAATGTCTTGATAAAAATCATCTCCCATTAGCTGTAGTCAACAACATTTGTATTGTAGAAAAAAATATTAATTTGTAAATTTATATAAACATTTTCCTCAGAGTTTCCAGTTATGGAAAGTTATAACCTTGACTTCTTGGAAGCAATAAGAAAACAAAACGTCCTTCATTGCAGGAGAGTTAGCATAAGTATCCTGAATATGTCTAAAGTACAACAATCTGGGCTCTGTATAAGTCAGGTATACAAGCTTTCCTTTGAACTTATGAAATTTTCAATAAATTTAAATTATTTAGATACAAAAACCACAACATAGGTTAAGGGTCAAATGTTCAGGGAGACTAATTAACATTTTTATCATTGAATTGACAGATGAGAGAAGAGTTACACAATGGTCATACAATAACAGCAAATCAAACAGTATCCACCAGAATAATAGAAATGGATTTTACTTGAAGCTCTAATAAATAAAGCAATAAGGAGAGATTTCAACCAAAAACACAGTTATTGAAAGAGACTAAGATATAAAAATTCAGAGTGAGTCAAAGGAAATGAACAGAGATAAAAGTTACTGAGATGGTAACATCCAATACAGAGAGAAATAGTTATGTGTAAAAACCAGAATTCACTAAATGGTAACTAATTAAAAATCCAAAGAGGCAAATTCACATGCTATAGAGAAATTTGCAATATATTTCATCTTTATCCAGATTATGTTTAGCTATTATTTCTGGAAATTATTCAAACAAGTACATTCTAACTCTGTCCTCTCAGTGTGAGTGCAGGTACATAGCTCCAAAAGCCTATCTCAAAGTTAGAAATAGTCAGTAGATTTTATGAATTCTCAGCACCTGGTCCCACGAACACATGGGCAAAGACATAACTACTCTTAGGTAAGAGGGAAATTTCCCACATTTTTTGAAATTGAATGCCTCAAAATTAGAAACTCAGGCTTGACTGTTGAAAAGATTTATATCTTCATGTGTATGCTTGTAACCACATGTGTAATATACATGTATTGAGTTAAGGTATGCACATAGGTGCATGCAGTCAAAAACTACTCATTCGTTTCCTGGCTGCTCAGACTTGAATAATCACACAGAAACTATATTAAGTATAGCAATGTTCAGTTTATTAGCATAGGCATATTTCTAGCTAACTCTTATATCTTAAATTAATCTACGTCTCTTAATCTGTGTATTGCCACTAGGCTGTGGTTTATCAGTGTCAGCTTGTTACTCCTTTAGCAGATACACGGTGTCTCTCTGACTCAGCTGGATATGGGAGCAGGGAAGTAGGTATCTTAATTAAGGG